ATTTTTAAGATACCTAGTTTCTTGGCAGTATTCATGGTCCAAGTCATAATGATACACACACACACACAGATCTGAAAAAGAGCCAGGCAAATCTTTCTGTTCCTTCCATTCTTACTCTATCAACTCGAAAAGTACAGATGCCATTTTCTCTTGCTCACTTTCTGCTCTCCTCGGTCAAGATACAGACTAGCAGTTGTATTTACAGTTCACCATCACACGTGTTCTCTGTGGCTCCTTTGGAAACAGTTAGCATGCATTCGCTTTTAAGAATGGTCACCATACTTTTAGGCTGCCAGAGTCAGTGTGGCTTTTCTCTTTTGCTGGCTGTGCTTTGGCACTACCGTTCTCCGAGGCTCCATCACTAGAGGTGGTCTCTTTGGGGCTACATCCTTCTTGGTTTCCTTGGCGTGGCCATCCCTTGGGGCTGAAAAGAATGCCAAGTCTTGAACCACTTCCTCCTTGCAGCTGGGTGGGAGTAAGGACAGGATTCTCCACATTACAGAAGTGCGGGTTCTCTAGCCAGGTGACGCATGGTTGCTGTTGGTGATGGTTCTCCACCCACCACGGGGCAGGCAGAGTGCCAGCGGGGAGTCCGGGCAGAGGGGGACTGTGCATGCAGAGCAGAAAACCCGGGATGTGGGGACGACCACCTGCCACCCATATTAGGTGGGAACTAGGCCACAAGGAGACATGGGGGACACACCCTCCACCTTCTTGATGCCTGGGACGTCTCTTCATGTTGAATGGACAAGCTCCAGCCCCCAGAGCAACCTTTTTCATTTTTGGAAAAGCAGCGTAGATAATGCACAAGCTCCTTTTTTTCCTGTATGGATGATGCCAGGGAGAGAGCAACATAGTACGATTCTCCTTTTTCCCACTAAAATTCTCTCCCTCAAAACTCGTGGAGCACAGCCGGCCGCTGTGGGGTGCGGTGGGCAAGGGTCCTTCAGAGTGGTTCTCCTTGACCTTGGGCTGCCCACTTGGCCCCTCGGCTGTGCACCGGAAGACAGAGTCCTCTCACTGTGGGCGTGTGTTCTGGGCAAAGGGCTGAGTTAGGGCTTTCTTATCAAAGAAAACCAGAACAAGAAAGTTTGCTTTCTCCAACGAAGTTGATACAGAGCAGGGAGCTAAAGAAAACCAAGGGAGTCTGATTTAGTTAAGGCACCTCGAAGCTGTGTGTATAGCATTTTATTAGCCGTAGAAGACATGGATGGATAGAACTCCTTAGGGTCTTGAAATTAAAAACTCATAATACAAAAATCTGTCATCAGTCTGTTCTCTCTCCCTCCCTTCCTCTCTTCCTTCCAAACGTAACAGATTAAGCCAAAGTGTAGCCTAAGGTTTTCTTACGGTTGAAACAGAAAACAGAAAAAAGTGGCATTTGCACTTCCTACCACGTTCATGAGGAATTCTGTTCTTGGATGTTTGCTTCAGCCTCTGATAAGTCTTTTTTTTATTTTGAATGAGAAAACCCCGTTGATGGCTAATTTTGGGATCTCCCTTCCTCAGTGGTTGAATCACCTGCGTCCTTGCCAGTTGGGCAATATTTCTTTGTTTTCTTTTCTGTCTTGTGACTCCTTCATGCATAAAATCTCTTACTATTCCAGACACAACTGGAAGCCTTTGAACCTCTGTAGCTGTTTTGTAGACTAACTTCACAAAACTGACCTAGTTTACAGACAGCCACGTCCATGCAAAGATGACAGTTAAATTCAGACTGTCTCCGTAAAGGCGCTAAATTCACATGATTAAACCCTTCCTGTGGCAAATCCCATTTTAGAGTACTTAGTTTAAAAATTCAGATGACTGAAAAGTTTTTGTTGAACCAGAATGGAAGGAAAACACACAGAACATTCCTTCAGTTGTCCTATAATTTGAAAATAGCATTTGAGAAAAATGGAGACTTTGCAAGCCAAGTTTTAGTTGCAAAGTAGATGTTAGAAACACGGGGAAATTTTACTGTCTCCTCTTGACTCAGTCATCACTATAGAAAGAGCCCATCTAATCTGCCACGAGGGAAATTCTGAGGAGGACTTTCCATTTCTCGGGGTGTTTTTAAAGCTAATGATAGGTGCTATTTTTCTCCCTTTCAGACTGCCACAAGTTTCAAAATGTATGTAGACAACTGGAATATTCAGACAGCTTCTTGGCTGAAGCGGTAAGAAACACACCAATGACCTCATTACTCATGGCACTGGTGTATGCTTGGATGGGCATCATTAGGTAAACAGTGGTTGTCTGCCAGCAGTAATGCCATCTGACACTTTTGTTTGGTATGAACGTCTATGCTGTGTAAATGAAAGAGCAGAAATACAGTGAATTGAGAAGGTCACAATGTAGCATATTTCTGTTAATGTATCAAACATTTAATACTGCCATTATTGTGTACCAGGTACCCATTTCATTCTCATATCAATCCCATGAGATGTTGGTAGTTACTATCCCCATTTTGTAGATGAGGCAAGTGAGGCACAGAGAGATTATGTAACTTGCCCAAAGTCACACAGCAAACGAGTGATCGATACTAGCCCAGTCTGTCTCCAGAGCCAAGCTCTTCACCTCTGTGATGTGCTGCTGCTTGTCTACAGGAGAGTCTCTTGCTCAGATGTCAACGAGGGTCATTGTCAGCATCAGATCACTGAAGGTTGCTGTGTTAATCCCTAGTATTGAAAGCTTTATGGTGCCCACAATGTTCATGCTTTTCAACTTGGTATTTTTGTTGCTATTTCTCTTCTTGTTTTTCTACACAGTCCGAAATTTAAAATACTTAATTTGGAACTAATGACATGCTATCCTTGAAGCAGCAGTTTCTAGGTAGTAAGCATTCCTATCCTATGAGTGCCAGGTGAGTGTAAAGATACTAGGCTGTAGATTCTACTGTTTCTGAGAAGTAGCACTTTTCGTAGGTTAAAACATCGGGGTAAAAGAAGAGACGAGGCATCATGAGCCCAACAAAGTCGACTCAGGCAAGTGACCTGAACATGCAGTTTTTGAAAACTTGCCCTTAATATCATTGCTGTTAATTTTGCAGATTGTTTTTGCCTAAACCTCTGTTTCTGTACACTGAGTAATTCCAATGTATGAGTCCTACAGTCCCCACTGGCAGTTTATGTTCTTTGATGATTGAACAAGCGTGCGTGCACATAAAAAGATGAAGAAAAATTTTTTTAATTATTCTAGAAAATGAAATATTTTATTCAGACAAAAAGATAGAGTGTAAGAAAGAATGCCCATGCAAACTACCTCTTGTTTCAAAAAGAAACATTACAAGTGGGGTCCCGTCCTGTGTTTCCTCCCTCAAATTCACTTTTTTTCCCATGAAGAGAGAGCCAGGATCCTTAGTTTGGATCTAATTTGGTTACTTTTGACAGCCGTCCAGGCTGGGTTAGTGTTAACCGTTGGGGTTTCTATTTTCTCCTTCACCTGGGTCCTCTCATTGAGGAAGCCATGTGGTGGCTCCTTAACAGGGCTGCTGGAAATTCATAAACTGAATTTGGGAGGAAGTCTCCTGTCACTTTAATAAACAACCAAGAAGCCGACGATCTCCAGGGTTTTTGCTGACATTTCTAGATCCTCACGATGTCCTCACTCTTTAAGGCAAATTCGTGGACTGGAATCCAGTGGATGCCATGAGAACTGAAAGGGTCATATAACTGACACATTGATTTTGTGCTGGAGTCAGTGCCAAGAGAGACAAAAAGGTTGCAATGCTGAGTAGTTAGATGGCATTGGGGCCAGCTTGGAGAAGTAAATTAATTTCAACTAAATGTGGATATCTGCTTTTAAAGATCCTTATCCTGATTCTAAAATTTTTAGTGCCAGCGGCACGCACTTATCCATAGGTATTCCTGGTAGATCAGGCCATTGGTGGAATAAGCTTCTATAAGGCAGGAGCTCTCGTTGGGACCTTTTATTAGATATTGTGTGATGGGGTCCAGATCATTTAGTTCTAAGGAGATTAACAATTCATGCATCCTCCCAAAAGGTTGAACTGTGAACGGCCTACCTGGTAGTGTTTAGTAAGTTCAAGGCTGCTTGGATTATCAGTCGGGGACCAGGTGATGCTTGCATGCTCTGATCCACAGAGACGCAGGTGCAGGTGGAAGTTTCTGGTATGTTCAGCCTGTGGCTCAGTGTACCTTCCTCCCTTCACAGAGTGTGCTACGAGCGGGTTCCCCGGTACCCCACAGTGCTCACCTTCATCCTGTCTGCCTTGTGGCATGGTGTCTATCCTGGATACTATTTCACCTTCTTAACTGGAATCCTCGTCACACTAGCAGCCAGGACGGTAAGCTTCCTCTAGTGGTGATGTCTTTTCCTTAGTAACTGGATGCCTGGATGCGTATCATCTTCTAGGTCCCGGCAGGAGTAGGGGTTGAGGTGGGAGCGGGAGCGATGTTTTGAAAAATCATACGACAGAAGTCTTCCCATGAAAGCAAATACTTCAATATACAGGAACTTCTGGCCATAAAATGGTTTTATTTTTGTATTGCTTACAGAGGGTGTTTGCAACACAAAAGGACTTTTAGGAGCAATGTTTAGTACCTTAAGAGATGAAAACATTTTTAATCATTAAAGGCTGTAAACGCAGCCTACTAATTACAGGAGACGATGATTGTTAATTAATGTAAGACTTCATTTTGTTTACACTCTAATTTCTCATTTCATTATCCTGCACCTAGAAATAATTCAGACTCTGAGCAGCCAGGAAAATTGCAGCCCCAGGAACTGGCCTGTTGGAGATTGCTCTAACCTCGCACGTCTGATCCAGTTAAATTAGTTTGTGTAAAGTCCTTGTTGAATGTTGTAAATTTGGTTCTCCAGCTTTTTCGGGTAGCCTTCAGTGGTTCCTAGACTGTTCCTAACATTTGCTGGCTGTAGAGCAATGATAATAATAGAATACAGACGATGCCGGTCCTCCGAGAATGAGATGAATGTGTGTATGAGTAATTACAATTCCGCGTATTCTAACTGTCAAATACAAACGCTTGTATTTTACTTCATTTCAACATTTGACAATGATTGTAGCTTTCCTTATTCAGGGGCCAAGAGCTTTTAATGAACTTTGTTGGACTGTGTTTTAGATATGGATTTGGGAGCTCCAGCATAACTGTGCACTCATTCTTGAGTCCATCTCCTATTATTTCAGGAGCCCTACTATGTGCCAGTAGGTGCTGTGGCTACCACAGTGAACTAAAGTCCCCCCCCCCATGAAATTCTTATTTTCATTAGATGGAGGTTTGTTGGAATACATGTGTGAACAAGATGGATAACTGATGACTATTCAGTCTGCTTAGCACACTTCGTATAGTGTACGTATTTGTGCATTGAAACCAGTGAAGATGTTTTTTCTCCCATTCATATACCACCTTGGATCATAAAACTAAAAACCAGGAGGATAAACTTAAGAAACAAAGGCCAGCATTTTGTAAACATATTCAGAGTATTATTTTAAAAATGTCTTTAGTTCAGTTGATCTCGACAGGCCTTAAAAGCATTGATTTATGTAAAGCCCTTCTCTTGGGTGACCTGGAGATGTTTTTCACAAATGAGTTGGGGGGATGGAGAGGAGAGGGGTGATAGTACAGTATTTCCTTTTTTTTCCCTGAAAGGAGAATGAACTCCAACAGTCATGAAGTGTGTCAGGCCCAGGAAGTTACCTAATAAAATCTCTTACGTGCGTCCCAGTACGTCCCAGGGACGGACCTCTAGCCTCTGTCTGAGGAACTCAGAGCTCAGGAGGAGCCCTTAGCATCCCAGGCAGCCCTGGGAAGCCCTCGTGCTTTGGGGCTGTCCCACCTCTAAGAGTCATTGTTTCAATGCTGCCCTTGGTGCTGGAAATTAGGCCTCTTTCTGGAGCCAGATCTAGTTCCATGTGTCAGAAGACCTACAAATGAGTGTATTCTTTGACCCAGCATTTTCCATCTCAAGAGAATTCTGTTTGTCTGTAAGATGGACATCATGATGCTTACGTGATAGACTTGGGGGAATCGAGAGAGGACACCTGTAAAGCCTGAGCAGAGGCTTGGCACACAGTGAGCACTCAGTAAATGGTACCTGCTCTTATTAGCATAGTTATTACTGTCACTCAAAGGAATAATTGGGAAACAGTGCAGAGACTTTTCTACAAGGGTGTATGGTCACAAGTGCTTACAGTAGCGGGGGCAGGAGACTAACTTTTCTCTAATTAAAATCGTTTAACTTTAGTTTAATACTTACTGACATGGAAAAAAAATCCTGCTATGTTACTAAATGAGAAAAACAGGCTATTGAAAATATAAGTATGGATATATATGAATGGAAAAAGACTTGGAAGGATATGTGCCAAGTTTTTAAACAGTACTTTTTGTTGGGAGATGTTTAAGAAAAATCTGACTTTGCTTAGTTGGTCTTTAAAATTTTTTCTACAGTGAACGTGTACCTTTTCTATGATAAGAAAACCATAATGGTATTTTTAGTTGAAAATAGAAGTCAGATGGCTGGTATCCTTTATCCCCTGTGTCCCTGAGGTATATACTGCCTGCATGCGTGGAGTAAAAGGTTTTTTTTCTTTTCTAACCCACCCCCACCCCTTCCCTGGCGACTTCCTTGGAGCGCAGATGAGGAACAACTACAGACATTACTTCCTTTCTTCGAAAGCCCTCAAGGCTGTCTATGACACGGGCACCTGGGCTGCCACGCAGCTGGCCATCTCGTACACGGTCGCACCCTTCGTTCTGCTGGCCGTTGAACCGACCATCAGCTTATACAAGTAAGTTTCTGTTGTTCCCGACGGCTGTGTGGTCAACGTGTGTTCTCTGTGTTTGACTTGGGAGTGGGCGAAGGGAAATGAACCTGTACTGACAATTGCTGTGTATGGTTTCAGTGTGAAAACGTCTAGAGAAAGCATTAGGAGGAAGTGGCTGTGCTGAGACACTAACAGGTCATTGTGCAGATGAGCAGAGTTGACTGGGAGCCCTTCAGCTGCTCCTCACACAAGTCAGGGATGCTTAGGGCAGGGATTTTGGAAGGGATGTGTCTAAATGACCAACAGCAGGTGAGTTCACTGGCCTTGCCTCTTTTTGCTAAGATTAGGCTGTGGGGCATTCTGAGTGCAGGACAGACGCGGGCGGGGGCTGGGCACTGACCTGATGGTCCAGCAGAGGGCTTTGTGCTCCCCTGAGATGGCAGTTCCAGCAAGTGCCTGTGGGGGCGCCCTTGTATATGGTGGAGGAGAGTAGGATGCAGCATTGAGGGTGGGGCCTGGGGGGGGGTCACACCACAGACAAGAGGCCTTTAGGAAAAGGGTATCTGCCCCTCATACTCAAACACCAGCCCTCCAGATGAACTGCACCCCTATTCTTGCTTGCTTTTATTGTTTCACTCTTGTGGAATTCGTTGCATTTCTCTGCTCTTGGAGAAATGGTTCTGTGACCCCTGGCACATTATTAACCTCTTTACCTGTGTCTTCTCAACTGTAAAATGAGGGTAAGAATAGAATTCATTTCAAAGCACCTCTGTTAGGATTGGGCAAGGCAGGTGTGCCCAGGGCTCAGTCCCAAGGTCTGGCGTGTAGTCTGCACTCGATAAATACTAACTTGTCTTACTGACTGATTTGTGGGGACTTTTGTAGATTAAGTATGGGACACAGCTACCATCAGAAAAGTGGCTTAGAAATAAATAGGACAAGCATGCCTTGTTTGTACATCCAGGATTGGATGCACTGGTCAGGGGTGATCAAAGAAACCTTCACAACCCAGTCCAGGTATCAGTGTCTAGAAGTGGGGGGATTTTTTTCAGGTTATAGGAAAAGAAGATAGAGGGAACTATGCAACACTCATCAACAAAGTCTGTTTCTGTAATACAGTTAGGGCGTGGGGGTTCTGTCAGTGTAACATGGAAGTGGGCTGGTGTAGACACACATTTTTCTAGGCAAAGGTTGCCAGGATGGTGGAAAAAGAATTACAAGCCTCAGTAGAAAAAGCCCTCAGTTCAGCTGCTACAGAAGAAGGAGCGCTGAGTCCCCTCAGCTCTATCTGGAGAAAATCAAGTGCCTTCCCTGGGTGCCTTCCCCCAAGAGGCACCCCCGCCCCCGGCTCCATCTTGATGGTACCTCCTCGGCGCCCTCCCTCCAGCGCCCCCACCAGCTCACAGCTCCACTTCCTTTCCCCTGTCTCAGTGCCCTCCAGCCCACCTTGCCCTTCATCAGCCCAGTTGCGGATCGGCCTGGGCTGTCCAAGGGTTTGGCTTTGGTACTAACTGTCTTTGTGAGGCACTCTGGTTACAGAGTCTCATAGAATTTGAGTTGTCTGCTTCTAACTTGTAACCCTGAGCCCTTCTGCTCACTTTTTCGTTTGAGGTACCCAACCTCCTCCACGCCCTCCCCGGCTAGGGGAGAGAGAGCGCTGCTACTGATGGTGAGGAGATGATTGTTTTATTTATTTTAGTGATTTTTGTTTTTGTTGTTGTTAGTGGAGGTACCGGGGATTGAACCTCGAACCTTGTGCATACTAAGCATGCGCCCTACCACTGAGCTAGATCTCAACCCCGAGATGAGTATTTTGTAAAGAAACGGAACAAAGTGAAATAGAAACTGTGTTATCTTAAACCAGATTTTTTTTAGGGAGGCACTTTTTTTTTTTCCCATAACAGGCATTGAAACACATTGCCTTGCATTCCTTAAGTAAAGTAAGTGGAATGAGGCTTCCTCCAGTGTTTGGAAAAATCTGTCACTGTGTAGACTAATAATTAAACAAGAACTAGAGAGAGACCAAAAAAAAAAGGAAGAAACAACAGCAGCAACAGAAAACCCACCCCAGCCCTGGTATTTTAGCACATGATATTGCCAGATGTGAGGCTTTTTAAGGAATTATATGGATTACATTATACCAGAAATGCCTGCATTCAGTGCAGTACCACTCAATACCTACAGGATGCTGGGCAGTATCCTAGAATCTGGGGGTAGATGGGTGAGCAAAAGACAGAAATCACCCCTGCTTCCACGGAGTGGGTAGTTTGATGGAAGCAACAGGAGATAATCGACATATTTGTAAATATCCACTAGGATCATACTTTGAATAGTACAAAGATTTATGTGAGCATGGAACAGGAAGCCAACTTGGGTGAAAGTCACATTTCGCTAAATCCTGGAGGCTGCATGATGGGCGTTTGAAGCAGGCATGCTGGGTGTGGTGGATGGAGCCCTGTGGGTCATCCCAGACACAGGGAGCATGATAGGAGGAGGCCCTGTGCACTGAAGACTCAAGAAACACATGTGGGCAGAATAAAGATTCAATCCAAGGTAGAGGGTAGGGAGCTGAGAAGAGAGAAGGGTAGGTATCAGTTTCACTGTTTATCATGTATGGAAATGGAGGCTCAGAGAAGGTGAGTAATTTAACAGAACTCACACAGCAAGACCCGAGTTTCAGATGCAAAGTTCCTTTAAACAGCAAGAGCAGTAGTGCAGTTACTAAAAATTTCTCTAGGAGAAGGTATTTTGGAAGACTGTTACTACTTAGTGAATCACATGACGGGTTTTTTTTTTATGATCATGTGCATTGTGTTTAACCAACTAAGCATTTTTACACTTAGGCAGGGGCTCTAGGGAAAGAATCAAATCATTATCAATCCAGATCACTCTCTTGTAGACTTCCATTTCTTTTGAAAGACAATCTAAAATGTTTATTTTTTAAAAAAAAACCTTTGTTTAGGGTGAAATTGACATTTCTGTCACTTTTGTCAATTTCAAATGGTTCAACCTAATGTGTTATCTCATTTTCATAGTTGCTTATGTGTATAGTTTAAATTCCTTACCTAGATCAGTTCTGTCCAATAGAAGTTTCTACAGTGACCAAAATGCTGTCAAATACATTAGCCACCAGTGTGTGTGGACATAAATGTGGCTAGTGTGACTAAGGAACTGAATTTTCAATTGTATCTAATTTTAATAGCCATATGTTGCCCATTATTACAGATTGCCTCTAAAGGTGTTTTCTGAATCTTTTTAAAAAAAGTTTTTTTTTTTTAAGACTCTCAAGATAATCACTGACTCTAACAAAAGAAATGAAAGTAAAGGTAGGTCAGTTGCATTCCAGATCTGCCCCTCCCTAAGGGCTATTCAGTTACTGGCAATAAATGGCAGTTGTATGCAAATCCATCTCTCCGGATATCCTTTCCTGCTTGACATTTAAATGTCAGGTGGGCTTCATTTTGCCATCTAGTCACTTTCCAATCTATAGTGACTTCAAATCCCAGCTTTAAATTTCTTAGCCTAATTAATTTTTTTTCCCCTTAAGTTGCAAATGAGCCCCAAGTAAACATTTAAATTTATTATGAAAGAACTTGTCTTAGCTTGGGCTGGTAGGACTACATACTGTAGATGGGGTGATTTAAACAACAGACATGCACTTCTCACAGTTGTGGAGGCTGGGAAGTCCGAGATCAAGGTGCTGGCAGGTTTGGCTTCTGATGAGAGTGCTATTCCTGGCTTGCAGAAGGCTGCCTTCTCACTGTGTCCTCACGTAGAGAGGGACGTGAAAGAGATGGGGTGAGGGACAGAGACAGCTCACACTCTGATTTACCTTTATTTTCTAATAAGGGCACTAATACTATCATGAGCCCCACCACCACCACCTTCAAGGCCTCATCTAAACCAAATTCCTCCCAAAGGCTAGTTCTCCACATAGCATCACATCAGAAGTCAGGGCTTCAACATAAGAATTTGGGGCAGAACACATTCAGTCCAGAGCAGAACCTTCCTGTGAATTTAACTAGATAACATTTTATTAACTTCAAAGTGTAAGAATGTTAGAGTTTGTGTAGGAACTTTTGTAAATAGCAAAAAACTCCTTTAGAGCAGGAACTAAGCCTTCTTCATCTGTGTATCTGGAGTACCTAGTTTAGTCCTGGCATGCTCTCTGTAAATGCTAGCTGAGTTCTTCTATAAGAAAAAGACGAAATAGTCCTTAAAATTTGAGAGCAGTATGGAATGTCAGAATAGGTTAGTAAACCTTCCTAGGGGGCTGAATTTTTTCCCCTGGACTTCCAAAATATTTGACTTTAATCTAACATAATTGCTCCAGTGTAGATTTGGCCATATGTAAAAGATTAAGGCAAAAGGCAAGAACAAAGTGTATTTTAGGAGAGACTTTGAAAGCCGGAGTTGCCTATGCCTGGAGCGTGCCTGTGAGAGTCCTGGTTTACCCTTGTTGAGCCAGCGTGTCTGGCTGTAGGCATGTCTTTCACTCTCAGTCACGTCCTGGTCTAAACAGTACATCAGATGATCACTTACCTGGGGCCGTCAACCCCTCTGCTGGTTACGTTGCTACCATTCCATTCCTTGGAGAAAGGGGCGGGGGCTTTGCACTTTCTGTAGATGCGGGTTTAATGCTTCGTACCTCCTAGGTAGTAAGTGTTTATTGAAAGAAGAAATGTTTGCTTTTGCTAGAGCTCTTGACGTTCTGTAGACCACACCTTGTGAGCGTAGAAGCTGGGGAATGATACAGAGATCAGTTGGTGAGTGGAAAAGTGTAAGTTCAGTTTTTCTAAATGGATACAGAACAGCTGTACAAATGCAAGCTGTCTTCTCATTACTTACGTGCATTGAGATGTACAGTATTTATTGAGTATCCAGGTTGTATCACACTTTTAAAATCTACAAACCTCAGAAGCAAAGCTTGTTTCTTATTAGTTTGGATGGAAAATGATTTTGAGTTATGGAGTAAGCATTCAAAATCTAGATTCTTCGGGCACATAATATACACAAGAACCCTGACACTTGAGTGGCGCGCACCTTGGCTGCAGTACAGCTGCATTTGTGTCTCGGGAACAGATTGTAGGGTCTGAATTGCATTCCATGTCTCCCTAGGCTTGTAATATGGTGGCTTTCTAGCTGTTGGGGTCAATTCTCTCCATATGCTCATTATGTCAGTGGGACAGGGCCACGCGTCTATCTGCGGACGGGCTGGTTGATTTGCTCTAGCTTTGTGGGTTCAGTCCTTCCTGGGCCCACTCACCCACCCAAGGGAGTTATCTTGGAATGGAGCAAGACAAGCCTGAGGGCAGTCAGGTCTACCAGCGCCAAGGGCAGAGTCCTCACTTGCTCCAGACTGCAAATGATGTCATTGCTTCATGTGACGTTTCCCACATGTATCCTTGTGTGAAATGTAATTTGTGTGTGTATTTGTTCCTAGATCCATGTACTTTTACTTACACATCATCAGTCTCCTGATCATCCTGTTCCTGCCAATGAAACCACAAGCTCATGGTCAAAGGCGGTCTCAGACTCTGAACTCTGTTAATAAGAAAAAAACAGATTGATACCTCTAAAAAAAAAAAAAAGCTGAACGCATAAGACTGCAAATCTTTGATCAGATGAGATGGAGAGACTCCAGAGTTCTCCGGTGACTTAGACGCCATGTTTACATGCATCTTTTTTGTTTTCATTTCTTAAGTGCAGGGAGTATTTTTATAAAGCCTTTTTGTACCGTTAAATCAGCCACGTCCAGTTGATTTGTTTTAATATTTTGTAGGACGTGTGAGTGGGGTGGGGTAGGGGAGAATGTGCCAGAACGGCAGGGACAGTGCATTCCGGGCAGCTGGGTCTCTGCTTTTCCGGCATGATTTCCAGCCACTGAAGTCCGGATGCTGGGAACCTGGACGTCTACTCCAGAAGTTAGAAGGTGAAGCCAAGGTGCCTTGTCTGCCAGAACATACCCAGAGATGGTTATTCCCCAGGGAGCCCCAGGTCCTTTGACTGGCGACATCACTGTTTTCAAACACAGTAACTACACTCAGAAGACTGCCGGGGAGGGATTGCATGGAGGGAAGTTTCCAGAATACAGAAAACTTGACGAGCCAGGAGGACCGACCGTGAACGGATGTTTGGATGGACTGAAGGTCAGGCATGCGTCCTGAAGTTGGCTGTTTTTTTTCCCCAGGGATGAAACCCTTCTTTTGCTCCTGAAATGAGCCAGGATTGGAAATCAGAAGGTCCCCTGTCCACGTCTCCCAGGAGCTGTTTTCCAGGTGTTTTCCTTTGCGTTTGCGCCTTCTGCGTGCCCAGGGATGGCGCCGAGAAAACACCCAAATTTCGCACCACCGAGGCAGCACCGTGTCTTTTTAAAAATAATTTTTCTTAAAAGTTACACTGAAGTTTGGGAAGAAGAGGCAGATACTGTTGTTTTCTCCTCTCACTTCACAGAGACATGTTGATGACCATGGCCATGATGTACGTTCGGGCCGGTCCCCCCCCCTTTTTTTTTTCCAGTTTCACAGCTGATTAAATCTGACTTCGTTTTAGTTGACATCCTATCGGAAAGCAGAAATTGAAAGACAGTTTTCTTTTCTATCTTTGCAATGAATGTGCTGTGGCTCCTTTTGGGAACTTCTGTTGGGTGATATTCAATGTAGGAGAAGGAAACATGTTAAATGTTGTGGAAAATTAATAATAATAATGATAGTAAAGTACATGCCACCAGGTTGTTCCCTCAGTCACATACCTTGGCAGGAGAGAATTTGTTCACATCAAATGAAATGGTAAAAAAATTAGTTTCTTACTAAATGAATGCTGCGTTTCTATATAAAGGAAATATTTCTGAGAAGAACTGCTTTTGGTTTGTGTACGTAGAGACTTGCCATTCTGAAGTGTGTGTATATATCTGTGTGTGTGTGTGTATTTTAACAAATGTGAACAATATTAAGGTTTTACTTAAACGTTGAGCATCATATGTTCAGTTTGTATTAGATGTCAGGCACTTGGATGGTTTGGGTTTGGGGTTTGACGTCGGATCTTCACCCCTAACAGTGCAGGTAGGATTTAAGCCCTTTCTACAGATGAAGAAACAGAATCGGGAGGATGTTTGCCATCTCCCCCACAGACAGACTCAGTGGTCGAGCTGAGAGCTGAACCCCAGGCCGTCCCAAGAAAGCTACTGACCGTGGGCCTTTCCCTGAGGTACCCTACTGGTGCTTCTCTTTGGTCAATGACATGGGACATGACGCGCCTGTCCTGGTGCTGGGGCAGAAGTGCTGGGACCTGGGCTCTGGTCCCTAGGGAGACAATGGAAGTTAAGAAGTAGTCCATCTGGGCCAGTGTAGGAGGCTCAACCCAATTTAACCCAGCTTCAGTGTCCCAGGAGGAATATTAGATGGTGGACGGGGGGAGAGACGTAGGTGCCTGAAATCCGCCAGGGTCCACCTCCAACAGCAATACCTTGAGGTTGCAAGACCAAGGAAAGTACACATCTTGTGTGCCAGCAAAAATGGTATGATCACCATTGGTGTGGACTGTGTAGAATATTCCTTATCATAGTGAAATCTTGGAACTTGCAGTGTGATTTATGTCTGGGCTTCACTGTATTTAAGTACCCTCATTTCTGAGAGAAGAACTCTGATGGTGAGAAGGGAGGTGGTCGCGAGGGTGACCAGCAGTCCTGCTTTGCCGGGACTCTGCCAACCCCTCAGTCCTGGGCAGGCGGGGACCACTGGCCCCTTTAGGGACCGCCTAGAATCAGTTACTTGTTACACGACGGAGTACAAGTCCAGCCCGGGGGACCCGGGCTTATAAAGTCTGTATGTCAGGCAGTGCTAGGTCCTGGGGGATGCTTTTTGTATTAAGAAGCCTTACTCAATACTGACAGGACAATACATGGAAGAGAGCTGAGTACCTTTTCCCCTGGGAACATTCACCAATAGAAGAAAATTTCAGTCTAGGACCAAAGTTTGGACAGAAGAGTGCGTCAGAGTTCCTATTGCCCTGAATATCATAGCAGTAACACGTATCTATTGGGTTGATGAGCTTTGCTGGAAAGAAATACATTTTATGGTTTTGTTTTCAAAAAGGCCAAATCTAAAATACTCTGTGTATTTCCCTGATGATTAGTGATGTTGAGCTAAAATAATCTGAAACCCTCCCCCGGTCTGTCCATCCATTAATTCACGCATTCACTTATTTAGCAAACGTCATGTCCGGAAAAGGTCTGGCATTCTGTTAGGTAAAAGATGCTAAAGACCCGTTCTCTGCCCTCAAAGAGCTCAGCGTGACCAGAAAGACAAGATCAGAGCACCCGCTGCAGGAGTGCCTCAGGGAATCCAGTGTTCAGAACACCCGTACTGTAAGTTTGGAGCTAACTCGTGTCACTGTGCCCGGAGGTTACCCAGCACTGCCCCATCACTGCTCGCCAACCTCCTGACCAGGTGACGTTAAGCCTGCCCTTGTTCTGAAACTGGATGCTGACTTTGCAACAAATCAGTACCAGTGAATACAGAAGCCACCCAGAGGAGCAGGCTGTGCTCACTGTTGCCCGTAGAGGTAGTGGGGAGGCTGGGCCCCGCTCTGGAAGGATCTTTGGCGAAGGTTTCAGGCTCAGTGAATGATGTCATGAGGTCCAAGAGGCAAGATGTTGGCTGAGAGAAGGGCCAGCCCACCTGAGCTTTGTCTAAGTCCCTCAGCTTGTGTAAGGCTACCTCTCACGCACTGGGCGGAGGAGAACCAGCAGTTACTGGCGATTCCTTTCGCGTGCATTACCTAATACAGTCTGGGAACCTGCTGTTAATGTCCTGTTTTTGCAAATGTGGAAGCCAAGGCTCAGAGACTGAGTAACTTGCCCGAGGTCATCCAGCGTGTTAGCCGGAGAGCCGGACCAGGATCCAAGCCACTCAGTCCACCTCGCCTCCTGGTGCAGAAGCACTTTAACAAAGGACTTTAGGGCTGAAAGCAGCTCTACAACTCCCCTGGTCCGGTGGTTTCCAAATGCAGATGGGCTGGCCCTGTCCCTCGGGGAGCTTGTTCAGTGGGCAGGGGTGGGGAAATGGAGGTGCCGTTGACAACAGATTGCGGACTGCCCGCGGCAGGAATCCCATCATTGGGGGGGGGGATGGAAACCGTGCTTTGCTCTTACCCTCGGCAGGTCAGGCCAAGGAGCAAACTGGTGAGGTGGGAACGACACCAAATCATTCGACTCTTCAAGAGAAGGTATCCTGTCAGTGCCTGGGTTGCTAAAAAGACCTCTTCTCTAATGTGCATAACGTGCTTTGAAATATGCAAAGGTTGGCCTAGACTTTTGGTACCTGATGTATGTTGTGGGGGCAAACTTCTTTGCTGGAAAAAATGAACAGAACTTTGGGGGAGTTACCCAGACCTACTCGGGGGCAGAAGGATGAGGCGGCAGAAGCTTGCGACCTGAGATGAGGCGTTCCTAGAGGCAAGACCGATCGGGGGGACTCTGGAGGATAGGAAGGGGGAGAATTGCTGGGCTGTCCTGGGATGTCCGTCTCTTCCCACCAGAGCTAGAGACGCTTTCCATCTTAAAGAGGGGGGCTTGGCTCCGGTTTGGGCTGGCATTGGGAGGAGAGACGAGGACAGACTAAGAGAGCAATGCAGTACATGTTAGAAATGGGGGGAAGATATACCCCAGAGTCATCCAAGCCTCCTATGAGAATCCCCCAAATTACTGGCAAAGATATGGTGGTGCTTTGTCTCCTCTCCCTGTGCTTAGAAGTTCAAGTATCTTAAAAAGCAAGAGACCTCAGGGATACGCAGGGAATAGATGCCTCAACAGGTATTTGGTTACGAACAGACCCCAGGGTCCCAGTCCTCAGACACTTTGATTCGGTTGGTTTGGAGTTACGCCTAGGGATCCTATCTCCGTTTTGGGAGCTCCTGGCTTTTTTCCCCCTATATCTGCGGTAACTAAGGCCCTGGGAGTGTCATGACCTGTCTGAGGCATCACAAAGCTCTCCTGTAGCAGAGCTGAGGGTAGAAGGACATTCTCTCGTTCCAGCAGGGTCTGTACCCCCCGCAGGGATGTACACTTCTTCCAGCAGTGGCACGACCTGCAACAAACAGGACTGAGTGGAGCCCTCTGAAGTTTTCTTCTCAACTTCTCAGACGAGCAGGGCCGTCTAGGGCCTGAGAACGAGCGTACAGGTGAGCGCTGGGTGTTTCAGCATGGAACCCAGACACCTGCATCCCCTCGGTATCAGTTGGCCTCCACGTGCCATGGCATCATGTCAGTTTCCAGGCCACCTCACAGTTTTTCCAGAACTGCTGATCCAACCAGTGGAGGCAGATGGGGAGCGCTTTTCTGGACACTACAGCACTTTTACTCTGTGCCTTTCTGGACCCACAGCGCCCTGAGGATCAAATGGCCTCTTTTGTTTTCAAAGCAAATCATCGGAATAAGCACTTTTGACATTCAAATATACGCAGTCTAAGCAGTTGCCAGCGACAATCATCCATTCATTGTGGACTTTCTGTCCATTGTCTCGTGTTTCGCAGGCAAAACGACCTTTCAGCATTTCCAGCTGCAGCCCCGGGTGGGTTGCAACTGTCTCTGTGTGCACTGGCCCCGAAAAGCCTCAGTAGCTGGAACAAGTTTCCTGCCTGATCACCAGCCCCTTCTCCCCCCCATCTTCTCCACGCTGCCGCCAGAGAATCTCCCCGGACAGCCCAGCAAGCCCGTCCTCTTCATACAGACTTCTGCTGTCTCCCACTGTCTAGCACACACCGCGTCCCCTACCCCTCTGACCCTAACCAGCCTGCTTCCGCCCTCAGTGTGGCTGCCCACTTCCAGCCCTGTCCCCGCAGCCGGGACACTGGGGACTCTGCCTCCGTACCTGTTACTGTTACCGCCTGAAGACCTGCCTTTTTTGAGCGAGCAAAACTTGAGAGGCCTTTCCAGCAGAGGAAGTAGAACGTGGAAGATGCCGCGTTCACTGTGACGTCTTCTCCCACTGGCCTCTGCCCAATAACCCCTCGAGTCCTGGGTGACCTGATTCCATTCGTCTCTCCCCGACCAGACTGCCGGCTGCCTGCCGACCACGAGGCGTGTTTATATCTTCATATCTAGCGAGGCCCTGATTCACACGGGAACTGGAGTCAACCGTTCGTTGAACAAGTGAGGGCAGGACTGTTTCTCTGGGGTGTGAGGTTCTGGCCCCTGAGTTTAGAGGCCAGCCCTATACATGGCCCTAGTCACAACCCAGGTCTCCACGTTCCCCTGTCCTTCAGTGTCGGGCTCCCCGTGAACAGGGTGCTGGACCGAGCCCTTCTGGCCACTGGAGTGCAGGGGGCCGGGACCAGCATTGCCGGAACTGAGTCCTGGGGTGTCCGCTCACTGGAGTCCGTGCTGCTGGGATCTTTACAGCTTTGGTAATTAGTGGTTCTGTTGTACCCAAGGTTTTATTCATCCATCCCTTGCTAACAGACTATCTGCTTGGGCTGCCATCCCAAAGTCCCACAGACTAGGGGGCTTCGACAGTGGAAAGTTGGACTGTCTCACAGTCTGGAGGCCTAACTTCAAGATCAAGGTATGGCAGGGCTGGTGTCTTCTGAGGCCTCCCTCCTTGCCTCTGAGACGGCCGCCTGCTCCTCTTCACGTGGGCTTCTCTCTGCCTGTCTGTGCTCGCACCTCTTACAAGGACAACAAGCATGCTGGATTAGAGTCCACCCCTAGTAACTTCAGCTCCACTTAATAACTCGTTAAAGAGCCTGTTTCCAAATGTAGCCCATCCCATTTGGGAGTGCTGGGGGTGAGGACTTCAGCACAGGGATGTAGGGAGGACGGGACTCAGCCCATCACAGACCTTCAGGCTGTTCCGTTTC